GGCGTAAAGCTAAACCAGAGGCGGAGACACGTAAGCCAGGTTGGAATCCGTCAGATTAGCCCAGGGAGCAAAAGATGGGAAGCCAAACCGAAAGGCGCAGACGTAAGCTATAGGTTGCATTTTGCCAGGTTAGCCCGGGGAACTTAGACTGAATACCGGTGGCGGAAACGTGAGCTAGGCTGTGTGACTCGCGGAAGCCGACACGCACAGAGAGCGCGCGGGGCACGAATGGGGAGAGCGCACGGGGCGCAAGTAGATAGGGAACGCAGGGCTAGCGCGGGGCCATGGTGCGGGCGCAAAGGGCGCGGAGACTGCGGAGTGCGCGAAGCCGGGAAGCCACCGCGGGGCGAGGCGCCGAGAAGCAGCCTCGGGGCGGGCGCCGGGAAGCCGCGGGGATAAGAGAAACAGAAGTTTAGAAGTAAAATGAGAGAAATAGGAATGCTGGCAGATAGAAGTAAAATAGGAGAAATAGGAATGCCCGGAGATAGAGAAATAGAGAAAAATAAGGCCTCCCCACAACACGGCAATGAGAGAGCTTGGATTCGGTCTGCCTGATTAGTAAGACGATAAGCACCTGCTGGTGGCTAGTAGCTTACCCGCTGCAGGTCACCGAAGACAGGCACGTTATCAACACCAATAAGTCTCCCCACAAGAAGGCAATGAGAAGGCTTGGATTTGGTTTGCCTGATTGGTAGGGCTTGTAAGCACCTGCAGGCAGTTCTAGCAGAGCAGAGCATGCGCTGCAGGGCACCGAACTCAGGCACGCATCAGCGCCTAAAAACCTCCTCACAACATGGCGAAGAGAGGACCCGGATTCGGTTTGCCTTATTGGTAGGGCTTGTAAGCACCTGTGGGCAACTCTAGCAAGCAGAGCAGAGTGTGTGCCGCGGGGCACCGAAGACAGGCGCGTATCAATGCCAAAAATAAAAAGAAAGGGGGATCTGTGGGGAGCAACTCGGACTCGACTGTTACTGGAATTAAGACTTATTCTATGCATCTGCTCTCCCACAATATGGCACTGGGAGAGGAGGAAACAGCTTCTACACAGCTGCCTCCAGTTCAACCAATAAGCAGCAGGAGCTGCTCCTGATTGGAGTAGAGCAGCGTACTTGGCGTGTGGGTAGCAGAGTTGGGATTGGTGGAAGAGGACTATAAAGGAGGAGAGAGATAACATGCACCAGGAACATCTATCTGAAGGAACACCTGAGCAGCCCCCGAGAGAGCCGGCCGGCGGTGTGCCGCTCCCCCGCAGAAGTGGGGAAAGTGGCAGGGGGAACCGCCCTTCCACGGAGGTGGAAGGGACGGTAGCCAACCCGGGAAGAACCAGCAGCAAACCCGGGGAGGGCCGAGCAGACAAAAGAACAGCACAGGGTCCTGTGTCGTTCCTCCACGAAGAGGGGGAGCGACAGGCAGTCATGCGGCTGCTGTGAACATTCCAGCGCGTGTCTCCAGGTGCACAGTTAGCCACGCACTTCTGTCAGCCATCTGCCCAGGAGTGGAGTTGCTCAGCGTTGAACCTGTGTGTGTTCGGCTTCTGTAGGTGAAGTTAAACAGTGCTCCCATTACATCCCAGTTCACGCCAGTTCACACGCCCACAGCAGGGTGGGAGACTTCCCATTGTCCAATTCTTTTTTTCTTAATTATTTCTGAGATTTATTTTATTGGGGCTGGCACTGTGGTGTAGTGGGTAAAGCCGCCACCTGCAATGCCAGCATCCCATATAGGTACCGATTCGAATCCCAGCTGTCCCTGCTTCTGATACAGCTCCCTACTAATGCACCTGGGAAGGCAGTGGAGAATGGACCAAGAGCTTGGGCCCCTGCACCCATGTGGGAGACCCAGAAGAAGCTCCTGGCTCCTGGCTTCCAATTGGTTCAGCTCCAGCCATTGCAGCCTTTTGGGAGTGAACCAGCAGATGAAAGATCTTTCTCTGTCTCTCCCTCTCTCTGTAACTCTGCCTTTCAAATAAAAGAATTGAGATTTTATTTATTTGAAAGACAGCTACAGAGAGAGGGAGAGACAAAATACAGACAGACCTTCTGTCTGCTGGTTTTACTGCCCAGATGACCACAATGGCTAGAGCTGGGCCAGGCTGAAACCAGGAGCCAGGAGCTTCATCAGGGTCCCCTACATGGGTGCAGGGACCCAAGCACTTGAGCTGTCCTCTGCTGCCTTCCCAAGTACATTGGCTGGGAGCTGGATCTGAAGTGGAGCAGCCGGGACTTGAACTGGTGCTCACATGGGTTGCCAATGTTGCAAGCAGCAGTTTAACCCACTATACCATAACACCTCCACCCCCAGATCTTTTTAAAAAATCTAACAATTTGTTTGTTTATTTTAATTTTATTTGAGACTCAAAGAGACAGAACCAGAGAGAGAGGTCAGTCTTCTGTCCCCTTGAGCCGTTACCAGCCACCTCCCAGAACGCGTCTCCAGGAAGCAGGAGCTGGAATCTGAGACACGACTCGAGCTGGGCACTGCCCGTGTCTTCGTGGACGCCTGGGCTTGCCTCTCCTGCTGCCGCCGCTGTCACTGTCCCAGCAGAGCCGGCTGGTGGCGGGGAAGTGGCATCTCATTGTGGTTTCCTAGCAACTTGTCTGATACTCATGACGCTGAGTCCTCTTCAAGTGCACGCCGCCCGTCCCGCTGTCCCTTGTGAAACACTGTTCAAGCCGTTCTCCCATGTTTTGCCTGGGTGCTGTCTTTTTTTCCCAACTGACACACAGAAGTTGCTTATATCATCTTTTTTTTTATTTATTTATTTGAAAGAGTTACACAGAGAGAAGAGAGGCAGAGAGAGAGAGAGAGAGAGAGAGTGAGAGAGAGTGAGGTCTTCCATCTGCTGGTTCACTCCCCAATTGACTGCAACGGCCAGAGTTGTGCCAATCCAACACCAGGAGCTTCTTCCTCGCCTCCCACGTGGGTTCAGGAGCTCAAGGACTTGGGCCATCTACTACTGCTTTCCCAGGCCACAGCAGAGAGCTGGATTGGAAATGGAGCAGCCGGGTCTTGAACTGGCGACCATATGGGATGCCGGTGCCTCAGGCCAGGGCGTTAACCCACTGCACCACAGCGCTGGCCTCTGTGTATATATTCTGAATCGAGTCCTTAGTTGGAAATATTACTAAAAGTGTCTTCTGGTCTGTAGCTTGCCCTTTCTCTTTCTTCATATTCTCTTTTTTAAGAGAATTGATTGATTGATTGATTGATTGGAGGATTGGATTGACAGGGACCGAGAGAGACAGGCAGACAGAGAGCCTTCCCAGCCACAGGTTCACTCCCCAAGGCGGAAGCCAGGAGCCAGCAGCTCAGTCAGCTCTCCCAGTTGCCTGAGGCAGCGCTGCCTCCCAGGGGCTGCGTTAGGTGGCAGTTGCAGTCAACATCAAGGTAGCAAACGCTGACACTCTGACGTGGGACGTGAGCGGCTCAGCCAGAGTCTTCACTGCTGGGCCAAACACCTGCCTCCACTTTCAGTTTTTTAAGTGACACTTACTGAGATGTGATTCCCACGCTGTGCAGTTGGCCTGCCTGGGTGTGCAGGCTCATATCCCGCAAGCAGCCTCAGACCACCGTGTTCACCCAGGAAGGTACCCGCACCCCTCAGCGGTTGCCCCCCGTCCCCCTCAGCCACTGATCCGCTTTCGTCTCTGTAAATGTGCTGTGTGGCTGGATACTGGTGGGCCTGGGGTCACAGGGCACGTGAGCTTCGGTGACGGCTCGCTTTCTTGTGGCGTGATTTCCAAGGCTCATGTGTGTCAGTGCCTCCCGTGGCCGAACGTGATTCCCAGGGACGGGCGAGCCACGTTTTGTTCATCCGTTCGTCACCTGACGGGCACTTGGGTTATTTCTGCTCTTTGGTTATCACAAAGATTGTTACCACGATCATTCGAGCGCATTTGTACATGGACGTGTTTGCATTTCTCCTGGAGGAAACCCTCATTTTTAAACATTTATTGTCGTTTTAAAAATGTGTATTTATTTTCATCTACTTGAAAGGCAGAGGTACAGAGAGAGAGAGACAGACAGACATCCACTAGTTCATTCCCCAAATGTCCACAACAGCCCGGGTTGGGCCAGGCCAAAGTCAGGACTCGGAGTCCCATCTGGTACTCCCACAGGGTGGCGGGGACCTGAACACTGGAGCCGTCATCCGCTGCCTCGCAGAACGCGGGAGCAAGAAACTGGCTCAGAAGCAGGGCAAGCTGGACTCAACGCAGCGATCCAGCCTGGGGTCCGGCCTCACCTGCCGCACGACCCCCTCCCCCACTTGCATTTTATTTCAAAGGCAGAGAGACAAGCAGAAATCTTCCACGTGCCGGTTCATTCCCCAAATGCCCGCAACGGGTGGGGCTGGACCAGCCTGAGCCAGGAGCCTGGAACTCAATCCTGCCTCCCGTGTGGGTGGCAAGGACCTGCGCCATCCTGCTGCCTTCCCAGGGTGCACTAGCAGGAAGCTGGACGGGAAGCAGAACCAGGACTCAACCGGGCGCTCCAGTGTGGGATGTCGACATCCTGGGCTTAACTGCTCTCCAGACGCCCACCCCGGAGGCTTCATTTTTCATCATGCATCATGAGATTCTTTGATACCGTCTGCACAGCCTTGCTCGTACTCAACCCTCCATCCTGATGGCTGTGTGCAGGCTAGGGAGCACCCACCGGACCCCTCAGCGTGGCTGCTAAGGTGGTGAGGAGCAGATGGATGGCGAAGATGAGAGTCTCTCCTATCCCCCTCCAAACACCAGCTTCCCCGACACACGCGTCCACCCGCAGGTGTTGTAAAGGCAAAGAAATGCCTAAACACGACCTGCGTTCCTGTCGTGTTGACTCACGCACAGACAGGAGCAAGAGGGGTCAGAGACCTCGGGGCTTGGCCCTGGCTCCGCCAAGCTGCTGCTCAGTGTGACGTGTGTGGCCTCCGTCTCCCTGCCACGGGAGCAGCCGGGGCGACCAGGGCTCCGGCCCTCACATGGGACTCACCTGACTTTTTTCCCATCACCCAGGCCGCGGTCCTGCCAATGATCCTGTGAGTCCAGGGAGTCACTGTTGCCCCTGGGGGCCTTGACCTGGAGAGGCCCAGCCGCCTGCCCCCAGCATGGCGTCTGACACGCCCGAGTCGCTCATGGCCCTCTGTACCGACCTCTGCCTGCGCAACCTGGACGGCACCCTGGGCTACCTGCTGGACAAGGAGACCTTGCGCCTACACCCTGACGTCTTCCTGCCCAGCGAGATCTGTGACCGGCTTGTCAATGAGTGAGCAAGCCCCGGGGCTGGGGCTGGGGCTGGGCAGGGGTCTTAGTGTGAGCGAGAGTGGAGACACTGGGTCTGTGGTGCACCCGGGGGCATGGCTGTGCATTCGCGTGTAGGAGGGGTGTGGCTGTCATGGACGTCTCTGGGTGCAAGAGAAGAGGTGTAGCTGTGCCTGCAGAGATCTGTGTGTGCATGCTGGCATGCGTGTGCAGAGCTGAGCGCACCTGCAGGTGTGAGCCTGAAGCGTGCACTCAGGGCTGAGGTGGTAGGAAAGCCGCATGTACTTGGCGGAGTCGCGTGCTGTGTGGCACGCGTGTACACGCATGTACCTGCACACATGCCTGTGAATTGACACGAGTGTGGGCGCGTGGGCTCACATTCCAGTGCCAGGAGAGTGGATCCGTGAGCAGGGACCAGATCATGCAGATCTGTGTGCAGCCCCCGCAGGGACCCCCCCACCCCGCAGCATCTCCTGAGGCCCGGAAGGGGAGCTGTTGGACCAAGGCTGCAGGGGGAAGTGGCACGAGTGGGGCTCAGGCATTTCCTGGGGGTGTGGCAGGAGCGTGGGCACTCTGCAGCCCAGAGTTGTGTCCATTGGACAGACGGAGACCCTGAGGTCCAGGGGCGTTCAGTTACCCGGCTGACGCTGTGCAGGTGGAACACAGCCAAGCCAGGAGTTTGGTGCCAGCAGCCCAGGGTTCCTGCACGTGCTGGCGTCCCAGCTGGGTTTTAGCGAGGCCTTCCCTGTCCCCAGCTGTTTGAAAGGTCCTGGGAGGGGCTGATAAGATGAGTGGGTTGGTGCAGTGGAGGGTGTGGCCGGAGTGGGCCTCTGGAGAAGGGCCAGTGGCTGTGCTTGTCTGGCGAGCGTGGAGACTGCAGCGGGGAAGGGCACCCTGCAAACCAGGAGGTCACCCACGAGTGCCTGCAGAGCCCCGCCCCCTAGGGCAGCCCTGCTCTCACCTGCCGTGTAGTCGGGATCCAATCAGGCACTTCCGGGAGGGGAGGGCTTGTGTTGTGAAGGGGAGCCGCCTGCCGGTCCCTGGGCCCTCCCCGAGCCCTCCCTGAGCCGGGCCGTCTTACCTCTCAGGTACGTGGAGCTGGTCAACGCCGCCTGCAACTTCGAGCCCCACGAGAGCTTCTTCAGCCTCTTCTCCGACCCCCGCAGCACCCGGCTCACCCGCATCCACCTCCGCGAGGACCTGGTGCAGGACCAGGACCTGGAAGCCATCCGCAAGCAGGTGAGAGCTGCCTTGCCAGGCGCTCGGAGTGGTCCCGGGCAGGCTGCTGGGAGCCGCGGGCAAGGGCAGGGCCACTCTGAGCCTCCGGGCACCGAGGGCCGGGCCGGGGCGGCCTGACGGAGCCCTGCCTGCCCAGGACCTGGTGGAGCTGTACCTGACCAACTGCGAGAAGCTGTCGGCCAAGAGCCTGCAGACGCTGCGCAGCTTCAGCCACACCCTGGTGTCCCTGAGCCTCTTCGGCTGCGCGAACATTTTCTACGAGGAGGAGAACCCGGGGGGCTGCGAGGACGAGTGCCTCGTGAACCCCACCTGCCAGGTGCTGGTCAAGGACTTCACCCTTCGAGGGCTTCAGCCGCCTGCGCTTCCTCAACCTGGGCCGCATGATCGACGGGGTCCCCGTGGAGTCCCCTGCTGCGGCCCGCTCAGCTCGCTGGCCGCCCTGGACCTCTCGGGCATCCAGACGAGCGACGCCGCCTTCCTGACCCAGTGGAAGGACAGCCTGGTGTCCCTCGTGCTCTACAACATGGACCTGTCGGACGACCACATCCGGGTCATCGTCCAGCTGCACAAGCTGCGGTGAGCTGCGGCCCAGAGCTCACCGGGCCTGGCGTGGGGGGGCAGCGTGCTGTCCATCCCGGAGGGTTCAAGAGCACCTGGCCGGGCTGAGGGTGGGGATGGAAGACATGGCCCAGTCCCTAAACCTTCTAGGTCAGCTGGGTCCTGGCTGGAGGTTCTCAGTTCTCGGAATGCCTGGAACAGGGTGGCAGTCACGGGCACTCCCCTGCTGTGGGCTGAGGGCTGGGTTGGTAGGCAGCTCCGCCCCTGCCCAGCTCCTGACCCGTGGCCCCCACCTCAACCCAGACACCTGGACATCTCCCGAGACCGCCTCTCCAGCTACTACAAGTTCAAGCTGACTCGGAAGGTGCTGAGTCTCTTTGTGCAGAAGCTGGGGAACCTGATGTCCCTGGACATCTCTGGCCACATGATCCTGGAGAACTGCAGCATCTCCAAGATGGACGAGGAGGCCGGGCAGACCAGGTGTGGGCCCACCCGCTGTGGCTCCGCGTGGACTCACCCAGAGCCACTGGGGACACAGCCGTGGCTCTGGGCGTGCCCTGAGGGTCGGGAGAGGCAGGAGGAGGGGTGACTTCCACTGTCCCGAAGGCTCCTCCGGGGTTTCCCAGAGGCCGATCTTCCCGAGAGGGGGCAGCACGTGCAGAGGTGGGTCTTCCCGAGAGGGGGCAGCGCGTGCAGAGGCCGGTCTTCCCGAGAGGGGGCAGCGCGTGCAGAGGTGGGTCTTCCCGAGAGGGGGCAGCGCGTGCAGAGGCCGGTCTTCCCGAGAGGGGGCAGTGCGTGCAGAGGCCGGTCTTCCCGAGAGGGGGCAGCACGTGCAGAGGCCGGTCTTCCCGAGAGGGGGCAGCACGTGCAGAGGCGGGTCTTCCCGAGAGGGGCAGCGCGTGCAGAGGCGGGTCTTCCCGAGAGGGGGCAGCGCGTGCAGAGGCCGGAAGTGGGGGTGTGAGGAGAGACTGGGCGGTCAGCAGCCCCTTGGAGACTGATGGGAGCCCGGTGTGGCCACACCTGCCACCCGTTAGGTGTCACAGGAAGCCGCCAGCCGTCATGGCGAGAAGTCCCAGCCCCAGGCAGACGCCCGGGTGTTTGGTTGATGAGCTTACCCTTCGTGGCACTGGTGGAACCTGAGGGGGGCGTTCCCCCGCTAGCATGGCTGCCAGTGTTTCCCGGGGCAGCTGTACCAGTACCTCCCACCCACCGGTTCCTCTGCAGTGTGGCCCTGCCAGCCTTCCAGCAGGAGGGGCGACTCATGTCCCCTGCCCTTAAAGAGGGAAAAAGTAAATAAAGCAAAGGGCCTGGAAGAGAGCCTCCGCTAAGCGCCCGCCAGGCCCCGCCCCAGTGCTGACCCGCACCCCCCACCCCGCAGCGTCGAGCCGTCCAAGAGCAGCATCACGCCGTTCCGGGCCCTGAAGAGGCCGCTGCAGTTCCTCGGGCTCTTCGAGACCTCCCTCTGCCGCCTCACGCACATTCCCGCCTATAAGGTGAGGGGCGGGCGCGGGCGCGGGGAGGGCCGGCCTGGGGTCTGTGTGGTTCTGAGCGGTGCCTCGTCCCTAGGTGAGCGGGGACAAAAACGAGGAGCAGGTGCTGAACGCCATCGAGGCCTACACGGAGCACCGGCCCGAGATCACGTCGCGGGCCATCAATCTGCTCTTCGACATCGCGCGGATCGAGCGCTGCAACCAGCTCCTGCGGGCCCTAAAGGTCAGCCCCCCCCCCCCAGGAGCAGCTGGGGGCACGTGGCTCACTGTCCCCACTTCCCATCCCCGGGGCCCTCAGCCTCCTGCCCATCCCCTGCCGAGAGCGACTGGGGCACGTGGCTCACTGTGTCCCCACTTCCCATCCCCGGGGCCCTCGGCCTCCTGCCCAGCGACCCCGGGAGCGGCTGGGGGCACGTGGCTCACTGTGTCCCCACTTCCCATCCTCGGGGCCCTCGGCCTCCTGCCCAGCCCCCCCCCAGGAGCAGCTGGGGGCACGTGGCTCACTGTCCCCACTTCCCATCCCTGGGGCCCTCAGCCTCCTGCCCAGCCCCCCCGGGAGCGGCTGGGGTGCACGTGGCTCACTGTGTCCCCACTTCCCATCCCGGGGCACAGACGGCACTGCCTGTTGAACCCCAGCCCCACCTCGCAGTGCCGCACTGGGTTGTGCCCAGGCCCGGCCTAGTTTGAGCAGGATCAGGCAGGTGCTGCCCCAGGGGCCCTGGTCCAGGCCCAGGCAGAGCCTGCCCAGCACCTGCCAGCCTGGCCCTTGCCCCGTCTGCCTGCAGCTGGTCATCACAGCCCTCAAGTGCCACAAGTATGACAAGAACATCCAGGTGACAGGCAGCGCCGCCCTCTTCTACCTGACCAACTCCGAGTACCGCGCCGAGCAGAGCGTCCGGCTGCGCCGGCAGGTCATCCAGGTGGTGCTGAATGGCATGGAGTCCTACCAGGAGGTGACGGTGAGCCCCTGCCCGCGCCGGCCCAGCCGCCCCAACCCTGCGCCGCTCCCTCCCGGCTCCCCTGGCCCGGGCAGCGCTCCCAGAGCCCAGCCCCGCCGCAGCCCCCACCCGCTCTGCTCTGCTCCACCTGGAAGCCCGGGCACCCTGCCTCCTGCCTCGGGGCCTCCGTGGTGCTGTCTCCTCGGCCCTCCTGCCCCATGGTTTTGTTTTTTTCCTAATAGCTGCTTTTATTACAAAAGCAATTAGAAATTTTAGTGTAGAACATTTATAATTACCGATACAAAGAAAATAATAAAAGTCGCCCATAATCCCAACACCCACCGAGAGCCACCACTAACATTGAATTTGGATTTTCGTTGTTCTGGATTTAGTCTGTGAACACTTACAAGGGTACTTCAAAAAGTTCATGGAAAATGGAATGAAAAGATAAGTATATTTTGATGACATGTTGAAATCTATGCATAGTTTTTTTTTAAGATTTATTTATTTAGTCAGAGTTATAGAGAGAGAGGAAGAGGCAGAGAAACAGAAATCTTCCATGTACAGGTTCACTCCCCAGTGGCCTCGACAGCCAGGACCATGGCCAGGCCAGCGCCAGGGGCTTCGTCTGGGTCTCCCGCATGGGCGCGGGGGCCCAAGCACTCGGCCGTCTTCCGCTGTTTCCCCGAGAACAATAGGAGGTAGCTGGGGGGAGCAGACTTGAGGCAGCGCTCCAGTCCGGGAGGCTGGCGTTGAAGACCGCAGCCCCAGAAACCTATCTTCCCTAGTAAAAGCTTTGTGATAATGTTTTTCTGATTACAAGAGTATGTCAAATCGTTTTAAAGATTTTTGTGTTTATTTGGAAAGCAGAGTTATGGGGGGAGAGACAGAGAACTCCCATCTTCTGGTTCGCTCCCCACATGGCCCCAACAGCCAGGGCTGGGCCAGGCTGAAGCCAGGAGCCTGGAGCTCCATCCGCGTCTCCGACGTGGGCGCCAGGGAGCAGTCCTCCGCTGCTTCCCCAGGCGCATGAACCAGGGGCTGGATGGAAAATGGAGCGGCCGAAGCGCAAACTGTCGCTCCTAGGAGACGGCGGCAGTGAGGGCGGCTTAGCCGGCTGTGCCCCGACGCCGGCCCTCGACGCCTAATGTTTAAGAAACAGAGATCTTCCTGGTAGTGTGAGAATGGATTCAGTAGAAGGTGACAGCTGTTCACAGACTCCGGATCCAGCCAGTTTTAATGTTTCAGTCTCATAATCGCTGACCCCAGCATCCCCATCCAGGGAGAGGCGCGGAAGCAGCCCACGCGTGTGAGCCTCAGGCAGCTAGGGGACCTGCCCCGTGGCTGCCGGTTAGGGTGCTCTTCGTCTTCCAGTGCTTTGCTGCCTCTACTTACCTGCTGACCCTCAGCTGATCCTAGAAGCAGAATCAGGGCCATGGGTATGTGGGTTCCCGCAGAAGGGCCCCGGTGGGGACGCAGGCTCTGCGGGGTGGGAAGCCCCTTCCCCTGCCTGTGAACTGGAACTTGAGTGGTCATCGTCTCTACACTGAGATGGAGTTTGCGGTCAGGCCGAAACAGATGTCTTTTTTTTTTTTAAGTGCTAGTTGGAGACCCTAAAGTGAATTAGTAAGTCCTAACAGAAATGGAAATTAAAAGAAGAGGAGATTACACTTTTGTCCTAAGAGTGGGTGTCTACCCAGCGTGGGGAGAGTTTGAGAGAGTGTTGAACACTCTGCCAGCGGGCCATCTTCCGCTGCTTTCCCAGGCCGTCCATACAGGGAGCTGGATCGGAAGAGGAGCAGCGGATGAGAACCGGCGCGTATGGGATGCTGGCACCACAGGCAGAGGGATTAACCTGCTGCGCCGTTGCGTCAGCCCCCACGTAGCTCCTTAACCTCTGCACCAACCCTGCCTGTGTTCACCTGCGACCTCGGTGTTCCACAGACGTAGATGTCCCCGGAGGGAAAAAGAGGAAACACATCCATCCTTGTTTGTGATAGGACTCCGAGGAAAACCCCAGTGTCTCAGGAACTGGGCTCTGAACAGCAGCGTGCGGTTCCCTCTGCACAGTGGGGTTCATGGGAGACTGCGTTGAGGGCGGGGAGGTGCCCTGCATGCCGGAGCTCTGCCCTGCGGCCTTCCTTTGTGCCCCCGTCCTCTCTGCCCCAGCCCCGTGTCTGTGCCCCCCCCCCTGCCCCAGCCCCGTGTCTGTGTCTGTGCCCCCTCCCCTGCCCCAGCCCCGTGTCTGTGCCCCCATCCTCTCTGCACCTGCCCCGTATCTACATCTGTGCCCCCTCCCTCTGCCCCAGCCCTGTGTCTGCATCTGTGCCCCCCTCCCCCCTGCCCCAGCCCCGTGTGTGCATCTGTGCCCCCCTCCCCCTGCCCCAGCCCCATGTCTGTGCCCCCTCCTCTCTGCCCCACCCCCGTGTCTGTGCCCCCCTCCCCCTGCACCAGCCCGTGTCTGTGCCCCTCCCTCTGCCCCACCCCGTGTCTGTGCTCCCCTCCCCCTGCACAGCCCGTGTCTGTGCCCCTCCTCTCTGCCCCACCCCCGTGTCTGTGCTCCCCCTCCCCCTGCACCAGCCTGTGTCTGTGCCCCTCCTCTCTGCCCCAGTCCCGAGTCTATTTCTGTGCCCCCTCCTCTCTGCCCCAGCCCCATGTCTGTGCCCCCCCGCACCAGCCCGTGTCTGTGCCCCCCCCCCCTGCACCAGCCCCGTGTGTGCATTTGCATGGTGGAGAAATCTAGCAGATGCCTACTGAACACTGACTGTGGGCACTTCTCGGGTATTTCTTCTCAGGATTTGAGCTTTTTACAGGAAGTATTGCTTTTATAGCTTGGACTTTTTCTCAGATGACAAACTAAATGCAAACTAAGGACGTATATTGGGGGATGGTATTGGTTTTTAAAGATTTATTTTTTTTATTTGAAAGAGTGACAGAGAGGTCTTCCATCCACTGTTTCACCCCCCAGATTGCCGCAACAGCCGGAAATGCACTGACCCGAAGCCAGGAGCCGGGAGCTTCCTCAGGGTCTCCCACGTGGGTGCAGGGCCCGAGCACTTGGGCCATCTTCTGCTGCCTTCCCGGGCCACAGCAGAGAGCTGGATCTGAAGAGGAGCAGCCGGGACTAGAACCAGCGCCCATACGGGATGTTTGGCGCTTCAGGCCAGGGCTTTAACCTGCTGCGCCACAGCGCCGGCCCCGGATGGTATCTTTTAAACTACACATTAATGAAGTCTGCTAAAACTTGCAATACCTCACGAGAAGGGAAGGGCGAGGGGGCGGTGTTGGGCACAGCATGGTCAAGCTGCATCCTGCGATGCCGGCGTCCCAGGTTGGAGCACAGATCTGAGTCCGGCGCTCTGCTTCTGAATCATCTCCCTGCTGACGCACCTGGGGGAAGCACCGTCAGATGACCCGAGTGCTTGGGCCCGTGGCACCCATGTGGGATGCATTCCTGGTTCCTGTCTTTGGCCTGGCCCATCCCCAGTCTTTGTGGTCATTAGGGAGTGGGACAGCAGAGATGGAAGATCTCTTTTAAAAACAAAAAATACCTAGGGGCCAGCATTGTGGTGCAGTGGGTTAAGCCATGGCTGCAACACAGGTATCCAGTATGAGCACCAGTTGGAGTCCTGCTGCTCCACTTCTGATACATCTCCCTGCTAATGCGCCTGGAAAGCAGCAGAAGATGGCCCGAAGTCCTTGGGCTCCTGCACCCACGTGAGAGTGCTGGGGGGAGTTCCTGGCTCCTGGCTTTGGCCTGGCCCAGTGCGGCCCATCATTGCAGCCATTTGGGAATTGAACCAGAGGATGGAAAACCGATCTCCCTCCCTCTCTCTTCTCTGCCTTTCAATAAAAGACAAATGGACTTTATCTTCTAAAAATTACATTACAAAGGAATAAGGAAGGAAATAGAATGACAAGGAAATGTTCAGAGAACACCATCAAGATAATAATGCGCAGACAGTGCAGAGAGAAACAGTAAGTGGAGCAGCTGGAGCTGGTACAGTGCTGGTGGGAGAGGGGCTTGTCCCGCCGTGTGAGAGCAGTCCGGTGGTACCTAGCAGAGCAGAAGATGTGGGTCCTGGGCGCGAGTCCCACGAGGCACGTGTGGCCCTGGAGAAGCCCACAGCCATGGGCCCCAGGATGCACGCTCACCGTAGCCAGCCGTGACGTACACGGCGCAGTTGAGTACTTAGCGCAGGGGGTGATCGCGCGAGCCGTGCCGAGGAAGGCAGCAGTGCTGCAGGACTGTCCCCCGGAGAAGTCCAGGACACGCTGCTGGGGTGCTGGGTGCTGGGTGCTGGCAGGCCGTGCGCAACGCGGGGTTCCTGTAGGGTTATGGAAAAACCATACGTTTGCCATTTTCTGCATCCTTCCGTGTGAATATATCATTTACAAATGAAAAGCCCTGGGCCGGCGCCACGGCTCACTAGGCTAATCCTCTGCCTAGCGGCGCCGGCACACCGGGTTCTAGTCCCGGTCGGGGCGCCAGATTCTGTCCCGGTTGCCCCTCTTCCAGTCCAGCTCTCTGCTGTGGCCAGGGAGTGCAGTGGAGGATGGCCCAAGTGCTTGGGCCCTGCACCCCATGGGAATCCAGGAGGAGGCCCTGGCCTCCTGGCTTCGGATCAGCCATAGCGGCCACTTGGGGTTGAACCAACGGAAGGAAGATCTTTCTCTCTGTCTCTCTCTCACTGTCCACTCTGCCTGTCCAAAAAAAAAAAAAAAGAAAAAAGAAAAAGACCCGCCTCTTCCAAAAAGCCTCTGGGAGCATCCCTCTGGCTGCCCCGGGCCCGGGGCTCTGCTCCGAGCCCGGCGTGACCGCGCTGCGCCCCTCTCCCGCGTGGCCCAGGTGCAGAGGAACTGCTGCCTCACCCTGTGCAACTTCAGCATCCCCGAGGAGCTGGAGTTCCAGTACCGCCGCGTCAACGAGCTGCTGCTCGGCATCCTCAGCCCCAGCCGCCAGGACGAGTCCATCCAGCGCATCGCCGTGCACCTGTGCAACGCCCTGGTGTGCCAGGTGGACAACGACCACAAGGAGGCCGTGGGCAAGATGGGCTTCGTGGTGGTGCGTCCGCAACCCCCCTCCTCCCCCCCCCCCCCCGCCAGCGTCAGGACGGCCTGGGCTGGACCCGAGGGAGACTTCCCCGGCCCCCTAAATCCTCCCGCCTGGGGCGCCCTGTCACCCTGCCAGTCCCCTCGACCGGTCCCTTAGGTCCCACTGACAGGTCACTGCTGCCCCCTCAGACCAGACGCGCCCACCGCGAGCCCCCAGCCTGTCCGCACGCTGCCCTCCCCCGCCCCCGCCCTGGGCATGAGCCGCGGAGGGAGAGCGCCGGCTCCTCCTCGCTCTGGTTTTGCTAAGCGGCGAAGGAAGCACAGTGCTCTGAGTGATTTTACTTCAGAGGCAGAGAGGGCTCATCCTCTGGTTCGCTCCCCAGGTGCCCCCGACAGCCAGAGCTGGGCCAGGCCAAAGCCAGGAGCCTGGAGCTCCATCCAGGTCCCCAGGCGCTTGGGCCATCCCCTGCTGCCGGCCGGGTCACGTCACAGGAAGCTGGAATTGGGAGCGCAGCTGGGGCAGGAACCCAGGCTCTCGGACGTGGGTTGTGGGTGTCTCACGTGGCGTCTTAGCCACTGCCCCAAGCGCTGGCCCCACTCCTCTCTCTGTGTCTCTGGGTCCCAGCATGCAGCAGGAGAGGCTGTGCCCAGAGGGCGGGAAGCAGACCCCAGCCTCCCCTCCCCGCCCGGCCCGGGCGCAGCGGCGGGCGAGCCCGGCCCTCTGGCGAGAGCTGCTCTCTGCCCACAGACCATGCTGAAGCTGATCCAGAAGAAGCTGCTGGACAAGATCGTAAGTCGAGCGTCTGTCCGCGGACAGCGCGGCCCGTCCCCCACCCCGCCCCCGCCGCGGTGTGGAGCCCTGCTGAGCCCTGCCCCGCCCTCGCCCGCAGTGTGACCAGGTGATGGAGTTCTCCTGGAGTGCCCTGTGGAACATCACGGACGAGACGCCCGACAACTGTGAGATGTTCCTCAACTTCAACGGCATGCGGCTCTTCCTCGACTGCTTGAAGGTGGCACTGAGCCCCAGCCGCGCCGCTCCTGCCCCGGGCGCCCCAGCCAGGACTGGCACAGGCTCTCCCAGCGGGACTCGCGCCAGCACGTGCTTCCGGCCCGGTGTCCCGGCAGGGCCCTCTTGGGATCCCAGTGCTGGGGAAGAGCTGACCCCAGCTCAGCCCGCGGTCCCCAGTCCAGCCACGTCTGGCTGGCACCCCCTGCCGGGTCAGCTGCACAGACTTCTGCCCAGTAGGACAGGCTGTTGCTCAAATTCCAAGATGATCCCTTTGCTACATACCTCAGTCCCTAGAGCACGTGTGTCCCTGAGTCCAGTCCCTCAGCAGCCTTCCTCCTTGTGGCAAGGAACCTCCTGCCACCTCCTGCCCCCCCGCCCCCTCCTGCCCCTCCCCCCCCTGCCCCCCTGCTCCCCCCCCTTCCTCCTCCTTTTTCTTCTTCATCTCTTTATTTGTTTAAAAGAGTTACAGAGAAGGAGAGGCAGAGAGCAAGATAGAGAGAGAGAGGGATCCTCCATCCGCTGGTTCACTCCCAAAGCTTCAACAGCCAGAGCTGGGCCAGGCCAAAGCCAGGAGCCAGGAGCTTCATGCAGGTCTCCCACGTGGGTGCAGGGGCCCGAGCACTTGGGCGTCCTCCACTGCTTTCCCAGGAGCATCAGCAGGGAGCTGGGTCGGAAGTGGAGCAGCCGGGAAATGAACTGTGCCCATGTGGGATCATGGGTGTTATCTTTGCAGGCGGCAGCGTTACCCACCGTGCCTCCCCAACCCCACCTTCTGATCCCTGCCCGTGTGCACCCAGCACTCGCCTGGGCACTGGGAGGTCGTGGGCACAGGTCCTGTTCCCCTTTCCGGCTGGAACAGCCAGAACCGACGCCCAGAGCTCTCAGCTGCACCACCAGACCCTGCACAAGGGCCGCTGCTGTGGCCCCAATGGCTGGCGTTTTTCCAGGAATTCCCAGAGAAGCAGGAGCTGCATCGGAACATGCTGGGGCTGCTGGGAACGTGGCAGAGGTGAAGGAGCTGCGGCCGCAGCTGATGACGTCCCAGTTCATCAGTGTCTTCAGGTTGGCACGTCTCCCTGCGCCGGCCTGTCCTCTGTGACGGGGCTCCTCTCTCAACCCGCGTGCATGGTCCTCCCGGAAGCCTGTCCTAGGGCCCCGAGTCCCCTGTGGCAGTCGTCCGGTTGTCAGCAGCGAGGGGCCTCTGGCTTGTCCGACGGGGGCCGAGGCAGTGGCTGCATTCTCCACCCACCCCCCCCCCCACAGCAACCTGCTGGAGAGCAAGGCTGATGGCATCGAGGTCTCCTACAATGCCTGCGGCGTCCTCTCCACACATGTTCGACGGGCCCGAGGCCTGGGGCTCTGTGAACCCCGGCGGGCGGAGGTGGAGGAGCGCATGTGGGCAGCCATCCAGAGCTGGGACATAAACTCACGGAGGAACATCAACTACAGGTGCGCGGCGGGCGGGCGCTGCAGGGGCGCGCCCCTCGAGGCCTCTGCTGGGTTTCCGTTCTCAGCCATGGAGGTGCGGCACGGGCAAAGGGCACGGAGCCCACCTGTGCAGCTCGGCCCTTCCCGCTCGTCTGCCCCCCGCGTGCCCCCAGCCTGCCCGTTCATTCCCTCCTTCCTCAGCCCCTTCCCGCACGCTCAGAGCGCGCACCCCAGCCGGCTGGCGTCGGGCCACCGTCGCCAGGCGTGGGCGTCCACATCTCTTGCGAGTGATCACTTTCCAACGGACCTTGAAGTTGAAAGTCCCGCATGGGGAGGGCTGCCTCCAGGTGT